TTTGGTAGTGAGTAAAGTGGTCAGAGGGCTTTGGTCAGTTCTTAAAGTGAAATGACGACCCCACAGGTAAGTATGCCACTTTTCAGTCGCCCAGACGCATGCTAAGGCTTATTTTTCAACTGTTGAGTACTTGCATTCACATGCAGTAAGCGTTCTGGAAGCGAATGCAACGGTCTGTTCTGTATTGCCATTTCTCTGTCAGCACAGCGCCAATGCCATAGTCTGACGCATCAGTTGTCACGACTGTCAGCAAGGAAGGATCAAACAGGGTAAGAGCAGGACTTGTAGCTATTATTTCTTTCACTTTACAAAAATTTACTTGAGCCTCCTCAGGCCAATGGAAAGCAGAAGACTGTCGCAGTAGAGCACGGAGAGGTTCCACAAGCGTGGCATAGTTGGGAATGAACTTTGAATACCACGCAGTCAGGCCCAGAAAGGAGCGTAGAGATTGAGCATCGTGTGGAGGGGGAGCTTGAACCACGGCTTGCACATGACCAGGTTCTGGTTGTAGGCCAGAGGCAGAGATGAGAAGATGCCCAAGAAAGGACAACTCAACTTTCTGAAGTGGCATTTTGCAGTATTGAGCTTTAACCCACTCTCCTGTAGGCAGTGAAGAACAGCGTTCAATCTGGCGTCATGTACTTCAGGCGTCTCGCCACAGACAATAATGTCGTCAAGATAGCACTGTACACCCTTTTGGCCATCTAGGATCTGAGACATCATCCGTTGGAAGGCACTGGGTGCTGAGGCTAGCCCGTAAGGCACTCAAAAAAGTCCATCATGCGTTATAAACGCTGTAAGATCTCTGCTGCTTGGATGTAACTGCACTTGGTGGTATGCATTTTGCAAATCAATTGTGGAGAACATTGTAGCACCACGGAGCTCAGTAAAGACTTTGATGATTGGCAGGGGGTGACTGTCTATCACCACAGCTCTGTTTGGTTCACGTAAGTCCCCACAAAGACGAATACCACCTGTCTTTTTGCTCACGACCACCAAAGGTGACACCCAGGGAGACGACTCTCTCTATGACACCATCAGCTTCCAGTCTTTTCAGTTCCTTAGAGACCGCGTCATGCACAGCAAATGGAAGTCTGAGTAGTTTCTGCTGGACTGGAGGCACATCTGGACGCACTTTCACTTTGTGTGTAAATCCAGTAGCAACACCTAATGTGCTAGTGGTATTGACGGTGTGACTCACCATTGGTGAAGCATGTGTTGCAATCTGCCCATCGTGGATGTGAAGGTGAAGTGCAGTGAAAAGATCCATCCCAAGCAATGGTGTGCCATCGCGAACAATGTAGAAATCTGTTTGTGTGCTCTGATTGCAGTATGAAACAGAAAGCTTGAGGCATCCAAGGACAGGAATAGGCTTCTTCATGTACGTTACCAGGCGGGCAGTAGTAAGAGGCACATGCATGAATGACTGACAGTAGACACTCTCTGGAAGAATGGAGACTGATGAACCAGTGTCAACAAGCAAATCTGTGGTAAGTGACTGTCCATCTTTGGCATGAAGATGTGCAGGTAAGGCGATTTGTTTGTTAGACGTCAGATGTAGGAGGAACATGTAACACTGTAAGATCTGGTACAGCAACCCTATACGCAGTTTGTGTAGGAACTGCACTGCGGCAAACCCTACTAAAATGTCCCATTTTTCCACAGTGATTGCATTTTTCATTTTAGCAGCACATTTGGGGTTGTTTGCTAAATGTGAATTAGATCCACAACGGTAACACGTTTTGTGTTGAGAAGTGCGCTGTGAGTCACTCGTAGGTGTGTGTTGTACTCTTACATGTGAGTTGCTTTTGCTCCGACGCTTGTTGCGTGCACCACCGGCTCCACGTGGCTGAACAAGTTTCACTGTAGCGTCCGGTACTGAAGCTATAGCTTTCGCTTCTGCCACCGCCGATTCAATTTGGGTAGCAATCGTGATGGCGTTCTGTAATTTGAGATCCGTTTCCAACAGTAGACGTTCTCTAATCCGTGAAGAGGACGTTTTCTCAATCAGCTGATCTCTAATCATGTCATCAGCGAGTGTGCCAAATTCACAGTTCACAAGCAATTCTGTCAATGCAGCAATATACTGTGCAACTGATTCGCCCTGTCTCTGCACACGCTGACGAAATGTATTCCTCTCTGTGACAACATTCACTTTCGGCACAAAATATGTCTTCAGTGAATCACACGCAGACTTGTAAGAAGTGCCAGTATCAGGAAGTGAAAGGAAAATACGTTGGCCTTCTGTGCCTAAACAGTGAAGCAGTAAGGCGCGCTTACGTTTGTCTGGCATGTCGTTAGCAGTCAAGGCGAGGAGATAATTTTCGAACATCTGTATCCACGTTGTATACAACATTGTCAGCTCACCTGGGGTGTCCAGTAAAGCAGGGGGTCAAAGCATTCATCAACTCCTTTATTTAACTTCATGCATTGTTCTAGTGCATTACTTCACTGTTACGCATAACATTAGACAACAGTATAGTGCCACCGCTGGACGGGATGTATATAGCACTATACCACAATGTGTACATATATACATATATGTATTCAAAAATATATGGTTATACGCATGGACGGAAAAATATGTTTCGTTACATGTGGGTTTGGTACATTAATGTATATATATATTTTTGTACATACTCTACACATACACAAATATGTGTGTTCATATATACAATACATACGTATATTTACAAACATACATACAGATTTTATTATTATTCATTCAAAAACGTTTTGATTATCATCATATTTAAAGACATACAGTATATTGTGGAATGTAATTTGGAAAAAAAGTGTTTGCACTAGAAAAACACTCCCAGATATCGATAAAGTTTTTTTTTTCAAAGGTAGTCTAAATTTAGTCACTTAGAACACCGTGCTTCCAAAAATACCTCTTTCTGACCTAAATTCTTTTTGCTGTCTTCAGAGTTATTACAGATGATGTCATGAATCGTTGTTTTAAACATGGACAGATTATTGACAGCCAATCAGTTCAATGCACTCATATAAACACTGGTACCTGAATGCAACAAAGGGGCCTTTAAGGTGACACCTTTTTTTTAATTTTTATTTTACTCTTAATAATAACATATACCGTATTTTTCGGACCATAAGGCGCACCACATTATAAGGTGCACTATCAATGAATGGGAATATTTTCATACATAAGGCGCACCGGGTTATAAGGCGCATTAAGCGAAACAAAACAGTCAGCGAAACAATTAAGCGGAACAATCAATATCCAGTCAATATCCTATTCAGTGTCATTGCTGTTAATTAGCTGTTCAGTGATGATTCGACATTTCAGACTGATACCTTAGCCCAGGCATCCACGATCCATTGGCAGATAGTGGCGTAATTCGCAAGGCGTTGCCTCTCTGTCTTGGTGAATATGTGTTCGCCTTCTGTCAGCTCGCAATTTAACTTTGAACGTCCTGTTAACACCAATATAAAACCTGCAGTTAAATTAGTTTGACTACAAGGTATTTGTGAAAATTACTTTTATTACTTATGACTTTATTATTAGAAAATGATTAGTCAAAGTAATTTGGATTTTGTTTTCACTCATTCGTTGTTCCTCTAAAAAGTTCATTGCTTTAACTGCGTCATTCTGACACAATGCACAACAAACAACACAAATAAATGAACAAATAAATGCTGATTTTTTTTAATCGATTACGGCCTTATCCCGATGGTCTGACATCATATGAAATCTGGGTCAAAAGCAACAAACTATTTGGGTCTCATATAGCATTGTTTCCCAAAGATTGGGTCACGACCCTCAAGTTGGTTGCAAGAGATTTTTTTTTTTTTTGGTCGTCTCGCATCATGTTTCCCAGGAGTTTACGAATAATGTCTATTGACTTCGGTCGCGAAGATTTGTGACTTTTTGATGAAAATATAGAGACCCATATTTTCGTCACAAAGTCACAAATCTTTTTTCTGTACTACTATATTAGTATTTGTCCTAATATCAATTCCCTTATGTCAATATTTTTGACTGATTTTTAGCGTTTTTTTAGTTTAGTTATTAAACCTTTTATAGTACATTGTCGTCTAACTGAGTAAAAGTTTGGACACAGAGTACTTCATACTAAGTACTGTATATATATTGTATCTTGTCCTTCTATACGGGGGTGTTTTCATACTTGAATGGCTCTCTCGTTGCTGTATTTATGGGATGTCTGGATGATATTCCCACTGGGATGTTTAAGTGTGTTGATGCTGCACACAGATATGGGCACTAATGAGTTTATGGCAATATGATTCCACTTAGTGGTGTTTGTTTTTATCTCCTGAGGCTTCACCCAAACACCGTGACAGGGCCTGAGTCCAGGGTGATCAGTGTTGAGTTTCCTGTGACCTTATCACACTTTATGGTATCCTTATGTGTCCAGTAACAGCCCTGTCAACTGGCTTCTACAGCTATAAGTGCCTTCAAAACGGATGTAAACACCACCGTTGATTTGCAGTAGTCATTACTTAAGGCAAATTACTGGGAAAAAAAACCCCTAGAGCCAATTAGGCAGCCTGTGATATTTGGTGTAAAAACCTCAGCATTGCGTTTCGCGTTGCGTAACGCCAGGGCCTGCGTGGATGAGCTGCTAGGTGAGTTGCGCAGGTTGGCTTCTTGGTAGTGGATTATAAATACGGGGCTGCTTATAGGCCTCAGATATTATTCTGATGGGGAAGAGCCACCTTCTCTCCCCGTCACCTGCAGAATGAGCAAGTCTTCCAACAGCCCACTGCAGCCCTCCTGATTTATAGCACTTCACAAAAAAAAAACAAAAACAAAAAACGGACAAGAAAACCGAAAACCGTTGCATATGTGCATTGACATCGGTTAGGGGTGGCTGCTATTAAAAATAATGCGCTGACATATGTGCGGAGTGGCCTGTAAATAAATGAGAGACGGTGTCAGGCAGCCCCTGTGTATTGATTCTGATGGAGATGCAAAGTGCGCACACATTCGGCCATTCTGCTCCGAGGCTGCTTACCTCCAGCGTCCGTATCTCTTTTTGTGTCAAGTCGTTGGATGTGGCACATTTGGTCCGTAAACCCTCCAAACTGGAGATGCTTATGTCAATCATGTTCTGCACCAACTCGCACTGCTGCAAGGCTTTCTGCAAACTGAGATGCTGCTCCTCGCTTTTTGTCATCTCCTCGTTCATAGTTTGGCGAGCAGCGGCCTTTAATTCCCCCTCTTTCCAGTTTAATATTTTCTTTTTTTAATAATAATAATTAAAAAATGTTATAAATGTTTTCTAAAAAAAAAAAATTCAGGGAAGAAACGTGGAGGAGTCCACGGAGCTGAGCGAGCCGCAAAACGCCATGAAACGAAGTGATAGAGGTTTACAGACGCACTTTGAGCCGTGACAGAGTGGACTCCATTGCAACAACAGTGCTCGTGGTTCCTGCTGTTTCATCAAGGTGTCTGTGCCTCGGAGCAAACACAAGACGAAGATGCAAAGCGGGACTACACGGCTGGCCAAAGCATCCACTAGGTGTCCATCGCTTTTAAATAGATGTTTTAGGAAAAAACAAACAAACAAATAAAATAAAATAAAATAAAATAAAATAAAAGCTGCTCAGCGCATTATTAACGAATGGAAATGTAGGGACGTCCGCTGGCTTTAAAGGTGCTGATGCGGGGACTTGATGCAGGTACTCCCTGGCTCCCGTGGCAGCAGCTACATCCCGTTTCGCTCCCACCACATCGACATGTTTCCTGTCAATCAAAGCCACAGCAACAGCATCGCAGCAGCGCCTAGGCACCGCCATGAGCAGCAACTCTCGCGAGATTGGAGGAAAGGAGGAGGAGGAGGTTCTCAATCATTTCAATCATTTTCAGCCTTGTTAGATTCAGTCCTTTCTCAGAACATTGACCAAAGTATATACTGTAATATTGTTGAACCAAAGTTAGGGCTTTGAAGACTCACATTAAAATGCAAACAGTTGTTTAACACACTATGCAATTCACATCGCACATGACATTGTTACACTGTTTTGTTTTGTTTTTTGGGGGGGTTGCTTTACAATTAATACTGTCGTTCTTTAAATCATTAAATGTCACACTAATCTTTACAAATATTTAAAAGGTTATTTATGCTTAATTATATTTTATTTGTTTCTGGAATATAATATTTTAGACCCATTGCCTAAAAATACCCACAAAACAATTAAAAAATATATTTTGATGTTAACTAAAGACTAAATAATGCCTTACAACAGCCCGTGGATGGCTAAAATAAAATAAGTAAAATTACCTGATGTTTCAAGTGCCTTGTAGACGTCTAAGTCCGTTATACTGTCAGAAATTGGACATTTTAAGTTTTCGAATGTGGTATAAATATATATTCTGTCGTGGCCCTCTGCCACCCCGGATTCGCTGATCGATCTCAAACGGTATTAAGAACTTTCATAAAGTACAAAGAAAAGACAAAAGTTGTTGCTCGAGTTCGCCTGTGCACAGGGAGGATCCAACGGAGAGTCAGAAGACTAACTGCTGAATTCTGCCCCTTCACAAGATCAGGCTCTTTTTATTAGCAGACCCTTGCCCAAAATACAGATGTTGCACGTCAGATTGACATCCTGTTTGTTACCATATTTGATAAACGATCTTATTGTTCTTTGTTTTCCACACTCACACTGGCTTCAACTCAAGACCTGGTTATTGTCACGTACACCTCCTGAGCTTCTGCCACAAGTTCAAGGCCTATCCTGACTACGCATCCTGAGTTTAACTTAATTCCTGTTTCAGAGTGTCTGTGTATTTTATATTGCAGGATCCAAGCAGCATGCTTATGCTTCCACGCAGATTACATATTTGCACATTTTCCAAAGCATGTTTATATACAATACATTTGATATTTTCCACAAGCAGCATATTTATATTTTAGGCAGGTTATATGTTTTAGCGCATCTCTTATGATCTTTTAAAACATGATTATATATGTTGCATACTTCTATAAAATATGAACACATGAATACATTTCATCCACAATTTCCATGATATTTACTTTTTAATACTGTGAAATATTTGTATAAAAAAATACAGGTTAGCATAGCATCAAGAAACAGGTTGATGGCGAGACCCCGCCCCCAAAGGAGCGGACATGCTTGGGGGATTGGTTGTACGTCGTGACGTTGGGCGTTCGTTTTGTAGTACAGGGCGCCAGTGAAGTGTGTCCAACTGTAAACAGATTATTAAGCCTGGACTGTAGAAATTTTCAGACTTGCCAAAAGAAATGGCTGCCACAAATGCACCGCCGCAGAGCAGAAACCTCCCGTGGTGAGTTCAAAGTCTTGGTTCCTCTGTGTAGAGTTAAAGTAAGTCTATGTTAACTAGCTATGTGTTCGCTGAGCATGTCCGCGAGCTCCCAGAAGCGGCCAGCCACACGCTCACGTCTAATTTGTGAACGATAAATACCTCTTAGAGATTGAAGTAAAACTCTCTCATACTTTGGATACTTTCTAAATGGCGTATATTCTGTAATAACTTGTCATTATGTTTTATCCGGCATTCTAAACGACTTATTAGATTTATTATTTTACTTTGTTTCCTCTGTATCAAACTGAACACACGCACAACCTCCCATGACTATATGCGTCATATCAGTAAATACAGCTGCACATTCGGCAAAATAAAGATGCCGAATTTGACACACGCATAACAATCCCATATGCTCATATTTCTTGCACGATTCCTAATATTTGAATGTCGGTCGGTGGGTAGTTTTGTAAAATATAGGAAATGTTTAATGAGCTACCTGCTACGTGTTACAGTCCTATTTTATCAATGTATTTTCAGGGTGGAAAAATACAGGCCACAGAAACTGGATGATCTGATTTCACACAAAGATATTCTAAGTACCAGTAAGTATTTGAACATTTTTACTAGTAATACATTTTGTTGTTGTCTGTTTTTCATTTCGAAACTGTACTAGAAATCAAATGTTATTTCGACAGTTACATTTATACATACATGTATTTTTTTTTTTTTTCATCTCTTTAGTCCAGTGATTCATCAGCAAGGACAAACTCCCTCATCTCTTGTTCTACGGCCCCCTGCAACAGGAAAGACCTCCACGATCCTGGCCTGTGCCAAGCAGCTGTACAAGGGCAAGGAGTTCAATTCCATGGTGTTGGAGGTATGGAGGATTACTCCATTCCTTCTCAATAGAATTGGCTTCATCTTGTCTACTTTATCTTTGCCCTAGGTGATTTACATTTAATCTTTTGCAGCTGAATGCGTCTGATGACCGAGGTATCAAGGTCGTCCAAGGTCCTGTTCTCTGCTTCACCAACACTTGCACCATCTTCAAGTAAGACACACACAAAAAAGTCAATTTCTACCTTAGAAAAGCAGGTAGACTGATTCATGCTTGTGTCTTTTTGATTTTGCACCCCCCCCCCCCCCAGTGATCGAGAAGTTCACAGAAAACACTCGGTTCTGTCTCATCTGTAACTATTTGTCCAACATCAGATTTCGCTTTGGCCCACTGCCCCCGGAGCAGATGATTCCACGGCTGGAGCATGTAATCCAGCAGGAAAGGTGTGTTTGTGTGAAGACTTTTGGTAATATTTGTGATGCAGTGGAGTTTCTGGATATACGGTGTCATCCTATACTTTAAATACAGTGGTATGAAAAAGTTTGCATGAATGCTTTGGTAGAATTTGAGTGGTGTTTAGGGTCGTTGTCTTGTTGAAGTATCCAGCCCCGGCACAACTTCAACTTTGTCACTGATTCTTGAACATTGTTCGCAAGAAGTTGCTTATACTGACTGGAATCCATGCGACCTTCAACTTTAACAAGATTGCCAGTACCTGCACTGGTCACACAGCCCCACAGCATGATGGAACCACCACCAAATTTAACTGTGGGTAGCAAGTGTTTGTCTTGGAATGCTGTGTTCTTCTTCCGCCATGCATACCGCCCCTTGTTATGTCCAAATAACTCAATTTTAGTTTCATCAGTCCACAGCACCTTATTCCAAAATGAAGCTGGCTTGTCCAGATGTGCTTTAGCATACTTCAAGCGACTCTTTTTGTGGCATGGGCGCAGAAAAGGCTTCTGCCGCATTAATCTCCCATACAGCATGTCCTTGTGCAAAGTGCGCTGAATAGTTGAACGATGCACAGTGACACCATCTGCAGCAAGATCATGTTGTAGGTCTTTGGAGCTGGTCTGTGGGTTGAGTTTGACATTAAGATATGTGTCCTGTAATAAACCAAGCTGGAAAAGGCGCTCAGACAATCAAAGGCGTTTCATTAGTCGTCAGTGTATAATGGGACAGTGTATAACAATCACACAGTGAAAAATCCATTTCCTTTTTTTTTTTTTTTTTTAAATCTCCCCTCCCCTTTAGTTTTCATTTCTGATCCTCTCACTCATCTTCCTCAGAGGAGGAGGAGGAGCAGGTCATGAGACGTTCAGGGATGTTTCTGTGTGTGAGGTACTTCATGATCCTGGTGGGCAGAGGTACGGGCTCCAGCTGGTGTGTGGAGACTGAGTGGCGGAGGATGCAGCGGCACATGTGGCATAAACTTGGCATTGTCCTGGGAGTCCTCCTGTTAAGATGTTGTAAATACATTTATTCAGTCTTTACAATATATTAATTATGTTAAAGTTTCCATATCAATTTATACTGTTATTGAATGCTGTTTATTCAATCTTTACAATATATTCATTGTATTAAGTTTCCATATCAATTTATACTGTTATTGAATGCTGTTATTATGCTGTACTAAAAGGGAAAGTGCTGAAGACAGGTGTGCTGATGGTTTACATAACAGGATGATATGGACAGCACTGAATGGTACCTACTGTTACACTTGGAGATAGAGACAGAACACAGAACCGGCCAGAACTAGTTTGCCCAAATAAGGAGAATGACGGAAGACCAACAAAAGACAAAGAGAGAAAAACATCCGAACTGCATGGTCTTATCTGACTTGATTAACTACAACATTTTCACATAGCTCCTATTGGTGGAGAATCCTTGTTTGAAGCAGTCTTTACCAATCAGTGCTCAGAAGTTACGCGAGAACATCACATGACTGTAAAGGGTTAAGGTACTGACCATTGAAGTTTGTGTGTAAAAAAAAACTGTATTTAAGCTTTGAGCACTGAGGAGTTCCTCAGTGCAGTTCTGAATGTAACCATTGTCCTGCACTCCTTGCTGCAAGTAAAACTTTTAAAACTTTGAGATCTCATATTTGATTCTTTATTTGATCTTTATTCGAAATTCTTTGTGTGTTGGGAAACGGGGGTATGAACTAACAGCATTTTTTACAGTCCTATCCAATGGAGGAAGTTTCCTGACACCTCCAAAACCTTACGTGGCCGTCTCTGGTCCTGGAGAATAGAGCGGTAATAAATAGTGTATCTGTTAACGCTATACCAAAACATCGTGATTAAAAGCGTTTTTAACGTGTTAACGTGTAAGTAACTATCAGAGGTGGGTAGAGTAGCCAAAAAACTTTTTGTACTTAAAAAATTTGTACTTAAGTAAAAGTACTGTTATTTCAGAATATCCAGAGAGCAAAAGTCGAAAAAGGTGACGGTATGGCTGGACCTTGCCAACGCATACGGATCCGTCCCCCATCAACTCATCGACTATGCCCTGGACTTCTTCTATATCCCTGGCCCCATCAGAACCTTAGTAGCCAAGTACTTTGAAGACCTCAAGATGTGCTGCAGCCACCAGGACTACACTACAGAATGGCAGCAGCTGGAGGTAGGTACAGCCATGGGATGCTCATTCTCTCCCATTCTTTTTGTTAATATTTTCTGGACTATAAGTCGCTCCACAGTATCAGTCACAAAAGTGCCCTCTGGTGTCTGCCAGTGTGAAAATAACAAACATATACATTTCCAGTGGTACAGGAGTAGAAGATACTGTTACACAAGCCTAGAGTGCCCTTTTGTGGCTTTCAGTGTGAAACTGTATGTTTTAATATATAAGTCGCACCTAGGGAAGAGCACATCCGCAAACGCAGGAGGCGGGAGGAAAAGGAGAGGAGTAACTTCTTCAAAAACCCCTTCAAGCACGCAAGACAGCTTCTAGAGGACAAGGGAAGCGGGAAGCTGGGGATGACAAAATCAGAGCTGGAGGATCACTTCAGGGAGCAATACAGCGACCCAGCAAGATCAACTCCGCTGGGATCTCCTGGTTATGTTCCTCGCCCAGCCCCCCCCATCCGAGTTAGCAGTTCATACTGTACCAAGCAGTACTGTATCCGAGGTGTTACAGACAGACCCCTGACATGGACTGATATGTGGAAGATCCCCCAGGTCAGGCTCAGCTTCCTGATCAGGTTGTCCTACGATACCCTGCCTTGTCCCAGAAATCTCCACCTGTGGTTTGGTGCAGAAGAGTCCTGTGCCCTGTGCAGCACTGGCAATGCAAGCCTCTAGCATATCCTGTCAGGCTGTAAGACTGCATTGTCCCAAGGCTGCTACAGATGGCGTCATGACCTAGTGTTAAGGAAGCTGGCAGAGGTGACGGAGTCATGCAGACAGGAGGCCAACAACAGACCTTCCACCTCAGCAAGACCTCTGATACGGTTTGCAAAGGCCAGAGAAAACGCCAACCTTCCTTGCCAGAGAGTAACACCAAGGCAGCGAGTGGTCGATGAGGGTCGACCTGGGGAGGCAGCTACAATTCCTCAGGGAGATCACAGAGACTTCGCTCTGGCCAGATCTGATCATGTGGTCAGAACCACGCAGGATCATTCTGATGGTGGAGCTTACTGTTCCATGGGAGGAAGGCATGGAGGCTGCCAATGAGCGGAAACGTGCAAAGTACGCAGACTCTGCAGCAGAATGCAGAGAGGCTGGCTGGAAAACCATCATGTGCCCCGTTGAAGTAGGATGCAGGGGCTTCGTCGGGTCCTCAACTGTACGCCTGCTCCGCGACATGGGATGCAC